TCTGTTCTCTAGTTGTATGGATGTTATCTGTCACCTATTGAAGACCGGCCGCCATTACTGGGCAAAAATGTAAAATCTTCAGTTACTAAAATTGTGCAGGCTGAATGTTTGACCCCTTACATGTAGCTTTGGGGGGGGGCGGGGCAACTCTTTATTAATGCCCGTGGTTTGGGGGCAACAAGGCTATTTCAGACAAAAAAAACTTTAATGCAAATACATTTCCTCAATTTCCACAATGGATATAAATCCTCTTTGCGAGCACCAAATAGCTTTAGAAACCCAGATATGACCTTGTAAAAGTAGCAGTGAAATCACCAGTGTGCTGCACGGGGCCTGTGCAAAAAGCAGAGCTGTGGGAGGGGCCCAGCAGGCCCCACCCACTACAGGATGGGGGTAGAGAGAAGAGTGAATAAAGTGGATTTACATCCTGCACGGCTACTGAGCAATGTATTTAGCTTTAGGCCTTAAAGTGCATGTCCAGCCCAAGCTTTGGACGGAGCGGGGAAGGATTATAACACGTGTCGGGTTTTTACTGCTATTTTGGGCTCCTCGCACTCACAGTGGCAACAGTTTCATCAGACAGGAAGTGAGGGGTAAACTCTGCCGCTACTACATAGCAGCTTCCTGTTTCCTTACACAAAACAGTGACGCGTATATGTGACAGCATGGAATAGGGCCCGCCTCCATGCTGGCATACATATGTGTAGGTGGGCAGGAAGGGGTTAAAGAAAAAGCATTTTTTTTATTCCTGTCTGTTTTGCTGTTTCCTCACTTCCTGTCTGCTGAAACGGTTTCCCGACCAGGCACATTGTTCACACCATGTCCAGGTCATGTCCCGAACAGTTTGTTCCCGGACCAAAAAAAAGCATCGCAATGTATCCCTGCGGTATTTCTGGGCTTTGTTCACACCAGCGCAGTCTTGGAACGCACTGGACAGCACCTGAAAGTATCAAAATTGCGGTAAAACCACTGCAAAAATGCGTCTGCAGATCTGTTCCGGACATGATGTGAACAAGCCCTCGATGAGGGGAAATCTCTGTCATGGGGTTCTAATCCGTCCCCACTCTAAAACTTCAATGCACTTTAAAGGAGAACTATGGGGTTAAGGCTTTTCCCCCATAGTTCTCCTCAGGGTAACGGGAGGACACAAACTAGCGTCCTCCCGTCACCCTAAGCTCAGTATATAGGGAGCTACAGCTCGCGGTATACTGAGACGCCGCAGCTGAAGCGGATCCTGACAATTGTGCCGGGATCCGCCCAGCTGCTTGACTGACAGCTGGCTCTGCCTATCTAGAAGCAGAGCCAGCTGTACCCTCCCCCTCCCCCGTCCGTTCCGCCAGTCAGCGCTATCGGAGCGGGGAGGGGGGAATTGTTACTTTCTTGGAATGTAAAAGGAAACAAATTATATATAAAAGGTTTTGTCCGCACAGTCACTTGGAAACGGCAGATTTAGCCTGACGCAACACCTTTTAAGGGCTCGTTCACATCCATACGGCGCACGCGCCCCCATGCAGAGACCCGCTCCCGGGAGGGACGGGTGCTGCGTGTAGTTGTGTGCAGCCGTCTGCACCTCGGGTGAACGTGGCTGCATGCCGACCCGAACCTGCACATCCATGCGGCTCAGGGTGCTCGCACTTGGATGCACACTGTCTGCGTCCACGACATGCAGGATTGGTTGGCCCCTAGGGGTATACCGGCGGCTGCACCCAACGACACGCAGCACCTGTCCCTCCCGGGAGCACGCTGTATGGATGTGCACGCCCCCCGTGTGAATGAGCCCTAACTGAACATAAACCTTTCCTATCGCAAAGTCTACAAGTTCAGTGTTCGCTGTCAGGGAATTGCTCTGCAGCCTCCAGCTGTGACACCAAGGGCAGGGAGTGCAATATGCTGCAGAAAGGCTTTTTTACTTTAAAGCCAGCTCAAGTTTAAACTGACTAAACATACTCCAGGTGCTTCGTCCAAGTCTTACAGTTCATCTTCTTTAGAAAGCAGCCACAGCCTGAGTAGAAAGGTCTCCCCCCCCCCCCCTGTACCCTTTCCTCAGCGGACCCTTTTTTTGTGTGCAAGCAGTGGTCCCTCTGCAGAAGACACAGCCCTGGTAAGTCAGACCTATACCGTTGTGCACCAAAACAAAATGCATTCAAGGTCTTGCATTTTTTTTCATCAGGAAGTAGCCACAGACTGAGTAGAAAGGCCTGTCCCCTGCCAGCATACTATGGAGAAGGACCCATATGTGGAAGCTGTAGTCTGTCTTCAGAGGTCTGACCTTAGTAAGTCACAGCCAGAGTTCTCCAATCAGCAGCGAGAATGAGATTTGCTTCCAGAGCTATAGTGTCTGATTGACTGGAGGAGGTGTGGGAACTCAGCAGTGAGACCGCTGCTTCCACACAAAGAGAGCAAAGGTCCTTCTCTGCAGCACGCTGGCAGGGGACGGGCTTTTCTACCTCGGCAATTACTTCTTCTAAAAGAAAACAAACTAAGGCCCCGCGTTACCAATATTACTTTACTGGCAATGGTGTGCCATGACTGGAGTGCAATATTTGTGTCAAGCGCGCTCTGCTGCAGCTGTGACGGCGCATTTCCCATGCACAGGCTCGCTTGTAGGTAAGCAATCCTTAAACTGCAGCATGCGGCACTTTATAAAATGTCAGCCCCGGACGTCTGACCCCACCAGTGACAGTGAGGGCAGAGAGGTCTCGGGGCGGTGTCAGGGAAGGCCCGGACTTCTGTGAATGATCCGCCTCCTCGGAACGCGAATGAGCCCTCCCGGGAACGCGAGTGAGCCCTCCCCGGAACGCGAGTGAGCCCTCCCCGGAACGCGAATGAGCCCTCCCCGGAACGCGAGTGAGCCCTCCCCGGAACGCGAGTGAGCCCTCCCCGGAACGCGAGTGAGCCCTCCCCGGAACGCGAGTGAGCCCTCCCCGGAACGCGAGTGAGCCCTCCCCGGAACGCGAGTGAGCCCTCCCCGGAACGT